GTCGTGTTGTCTACGAGCTTATCCAGTCGGTTACCCGAGCCACGGTTAGTAAGCTACGATCGTTTTAGATTCGAAAGAAGCGAACGGCGACCTATCAACTTCAGACGTTTCGACTTCTCGATTATTCATAACTGAGAGGACCCATGAACAACTACGACTCTAGATGTTGCCGTCGGCAGCCGATATAGTACAATCAACAACATGTGACCGTTGCTCTGTCCAATGCCACCCAACAACCCATCAGTCCCTGGTGTACCCAAATATGCTCAAATCATTCCGCATAATGCTCAAGGTCAACCGATTGAGTTTTCCTTTCGACACATGACAGATGTGGATGATATCTGTGCGGGTTTCCTGTGTGTATGAGCCTACTGACGGTAGCTCTGATCGATATTCCACATTCGTTATCTACTGTCACACTGCTGGTTGAGTGTGATTCGTACTGCATTCCATTATTCACATTCACTTGAGATTTGCCATCTTTCCGTGTGGGAGTTGTGGTGTTGCACATAAATCATCGTTGCTGGAAAAGATGTGGATAAAATGACAACTACGCGCCGTTCAATGGGTGGATACCGGTCCGCTACTGTTACCGGGGCGTACCACACTAGTTGATCGAATGCCTGTTGCTTTCCGTCGGTTCGTTCACATTTCATCTTTGTTTCATAGCTGAAGCATCAGGGTATACTTGTGGTCTCTTATTATCGCGTATATGATGTTCAGATCAACAAATTGGAGTTGCTATTTCCCATGGGACTGCTGTGGTGATGGTTAGGTACTCTTTGGACTAACAAGCGATTTTCAATTTCTTGTCGCAGTGAGCTTGACGATTTCCACATATCANTTCAAGTGGTTAGAGCGCGAATTTATTGATCAGAATGTCCGTGATTCAAACTCTACCTCTGCCTCTGGAATTCCCCTGTCTAGGCTTGAGAAACCTGGTATTATCCCAGCCCTCATGCTTTCATCGAGTGTCAGGGCAGTTGAACGCTTTTTCAGCCTAATGTAAACATGGATGCTAAATTAGAAATGTATAGACGGAGTGATACAAGTGGAGTGAACCAATTTTCTGTTTGGGAATTTTCCTATCTATGATAGCATTTGAACTCTACTGTGTTTCGTAATGTCCTTGTAATTTGCCATGCAGATTTTAACTGCATGTCAAATTTATTCTTGGACACTTCTCATGATTGCCACTACCTCTGGAGCCCACCAACATTGGAATTTGTGGCGTAGGTACAATAGCCTGACTGGTTTGTTTTTGACATCGGTAGTACGAATATTTTTAGCCGGAATGTGGCAACACTGAACAGACTAATGTAATGTATTCGATATTCAATGTGTACGCAAACGTACTGGTCATCTTCCCCCTGGAGAGCCTGGACTAAGCGGTCGTCGAGGGACGATGAGATTTCGAGGAAACTAGCGTTACAAAGAAAGTGTATAATGTATCTATCTCACAAAATTGAAATTAGCCCTTTTGATGGTTGAGGGAATCAACCACAATGAGAGAAGTAACCTTTAGATTTATTTTTTGAGGAGTGGATATACATTTTGTCACGAAACAGAAGGTCGTGTTGTCTACGAGCTTATCCAGTCGGTTACCCGAGCCACGGTTAGTAAGCTACGATCGTTTTAGATTCGAAAGAAGCGAACGGCGACCTATCAACTTCAGACGTTTCGACTTCTCGATTATTCATAACTGAGAGGACCCATGAACAACTACGACTCTAGATGTTGCCGTCGGCAGCCGATATAGTACAATCAACAACATGTGACCGTTGCTCTGTCCAATGCCACCCAACAACCCATCAGTCCCTGGTGTACCCAAATATGCTCAAATCATTCCGCATAATGCTCAAGGCCAACCGATTGAGTTTTCCTTTCGACACATGACAGATGTGGATGATATCTGTGGGGGTTTCCTGTGTGTATGAGCCTACTGACGGTAGCTCTGATCGATATTCCACATTCGTTATCTACTGTCACACTGCTAGTTGAGTGTGATTCGTGCTGCATTCCATTATTCACATTCACTTGAGATTTGCCATCTTTCCGTGTGGGAGTTGTGGTGTTGCACATAAATCATCGTTGCTGGAAAAGATGTGGATAAAATGACAACTACGCGCCGTTCAATGGGTGGATACCGGTCCGCTACTGTTACCGGGGCGTACCACACTAGTTGATCGAATGCCTGTTGCTTTCCGTCGGTTCGTTCACATTTCATCTTTGTTTCATAGCTGAAGCATCAGGGTATACTTGTGGTCTCTTATTATCGCGTATATGATGTTCAGATCAACAAATTGGAGTTGCTATTTCCCATGGGACTGTTGTGGTGATGGTTAGGAACTCTTTGGATTAACAGGCGATTTTCAATTTCTTGTCGCAGTGAGCTTGACGATTTCCACATGTCAAGAATGGCGAATTCGTTTGTTATACTGACTAATATGTATTATATTACGTTCCATACTCTCTTGAAGTTATGGCTTTCATCAGAGCTTAAGGACTAAGTTTTCCGTTCTGTCTTTATACTGCTCATTACTAGTCGTTTTCTTGTTTTGAATCCATTCTTCTTAGGGCTGACATTCTCCGCCAAGGGATAATCCCACGATATTGAATGACTGGTGTAAATTATGCCTAGCACTGACCGTGAAATATTAAACTGCGGGGTTAAATTCACCCCAAAGAGGCGATAGAATTCAAAGTTTTGACAAACCCTGAGGAAACGCCACAAAAGTGTGAGCGAATTCGTCAGGCCTAATGAAGAATAGTTTTTTTAAACCATGAGAAGTAAATTATGGGTGTACAGGTCCTGAATGAATGTGAAAAACATGAATGTACAGTATCCTTCAGTTACTCAGCTGTTTTAGTGTCAACATTCATAATTAGGCCAAAAATAACAAAGCATTTTAAGACATTTAGGCTTAGGACACGTCACTGGGCGTTCAACAAACCCACGTGTGACGTGATTTGGGTATCAGATTCAGGTAGCTGATGGTTACTTGATGGTGTTTAGGTCTGTGTTTGAGGCGGTCAGACACAAACGGCTCCATGTATCTCTGTTACCTGTGCTGTGAAGCCCCTAGTACGGACATTGTCCACAGGGTGGATCACAATGTATTCTAGTTTTTTGTCTTGTAGAGTACTCCTTCCCACGGGGAATTCCCAAAAAATGCTTCTTTCGAGCTGACCAATTTAGTTGCATGAGTTTTTACTCTCAGAACGGTCATTATTAGATGAAACAAACCCCATAGAACCGAAGGGGAAACACAAAGTGAACATTACAATGAAAATACTCTACACCAGTTACCCAGACTGTCATCGTTCGAACGATTTATTCGCAGGTACTTCTAGTGAACGGTAGATACTACTGATGAGGGCATGCCAGCAGTATGTTTTCTAAATCCGCTTTGCGTCTATTGGAAAGTGAGATTTACCACGGAATTTGTGGAGTTGTTTTGTAGTATTCGTTTGCATCTGTGTAATAGTCAATGAATATCCAGGAAAATTCAGGAAGACGTGTTCAAGCAAGTTGCATATGAGAGTTTTGCTTCCCTGTTCAATAGGCTGTAACTCATTTTTTCCCAATAAGTAACCTCGCAGCGAAGGCCTTCTTCTTTTCACCAGTAGCTATTTCGCCAGATCGGCTAGAAAGATAGCTCAGGATGCGCGCATAGCATCACTTGTTGAAGATATCAATGAAACTAGATGATAACTGCTGGTGACATCCACGCCAATTGGAGATGGATTAACGCATGCCATACTTTTGAATATCTGGGGAACTCAGTCCAACCTAAGCGAGATAGGTATTCAACTACATATCCACAANATTCGATACTCAATGTGTACGCAAACGTACTGGTCATCTTCCCCCTGGAGAGCCTGGACTAAGCGGTCGTCGAGGGACGATGAGATTTCGAGGAAACTAGCGTTACAAAGAAAGTGTATAATGTATCTATCTCACAAAATTGAAATTAGCCCTTTTGATGGTTGAGGGAATCAACCACAATGAGAGAAGTAACCTTTAGATTTATTTTTTGAGGAGTGGATATACATTTTGTCACGAAACAGAAGGTCGTGTTGTCTACGAGCTTATCCAGTCGGTTACCCGAGCCACGGTTAGTAAGCTACGATCGTTTTAGATTCGAAAGAAGCGAACGGCGACCTATCAACTTCAGACGTTTCGACTTCTCGATTATTCATAACTGAGAGGACCCATGAACAACTACGACTCTAGATGTTGCCGTCGGCAGCCGATATAGTACAATCAACAACATGTGACCGTTGCTCTGTCCAATGCCACCCAACAACCCATCAGTCCCTGGTGTACCCAAATATGCTCAAATCATTCCGCATAATGCTCAAGGCCAACCGATTGAGTTTTCCTTTCGACACATGACAGATGTGGATGATATCTGTGGGGGTTTCCTGTGTGTATGAGCCTACTGACGGTAGCTCTGATCGATATTCCACATTCGTTATCTACTGTCACACTGCTGGTTGAGTGTGATTCGTACTGCATTCCATTATTCACATTCACTTGAGATTTGCCATCTTTCCGTGTGGCAGTTGTGGTGTTGCACATAAATCATCGTTGCTGGAAAAGATGTGGATAAAATGACAACCACGCGCCGTTCAATGGGTGGGTACCGGTCCGCTACTGTTACCGGGGCGTACCACACTAGTTGATCGAATGCCTGTTGCTTTCCGTCGGTTCGTTCACATTTCATCTTTGTTTCATAGCTGAAGCATCAGGGTATACTTGTGGTCTCTTATTATCGCGTATATGATGTTCAGATCAACAAATTGGAGTTGCTATTTCCCATGGGACTGTTGTGGTGATGGTTAGGAACTCTTTGGATTAACAGGCGATTTTCAATTTCTTGTCGCAGTGAGCTTGACGATTTCCACATGTCAAGAATGGCGAATTCGTTTGTTATACTGACTAATATGTATTATATTACGTTCCATACTCTCTTGAAGTTATGGCTTTCATCAGAGCTTAAGGACTAAGTTTTCCGTTCTGTCTTTATACTGCTCATTACCTGGTGTACCATGCTCAAATCATTCCGCATAATGCTCAAGGCCAACCGATTGAGTTTTCCTTTCGACACATGACAGATGTGGATGATATCATATCTGGTTTCCTGTGTGTATGAGCCTACTGACGGTAGCTCTGATCGATATTCCACATTCGTTATCTACTGTCACACTGCTAGTTGAGTGTGATTCGTGCTGCATTCCATTATTCACATTCACTTGAGATTTGCCATCTTTCCGTGTGGGAGTACAGGTCCTAATGTGAAAAACATGAATGTACAGTATCCCTCGCAGTTACTCGGCTGTTTCGATGTCAACATTCATAATTAGGCCAAAAAAAAAATAGCATTTTAAGACATTTAGGCTTAGGACACGTCACTGGGCGTTCAACAAACCCACGTGTGACGTGATTTGGGTATCAGATTCAGGTAGCTGATGGTTACTTGATGGTGTTTAGGTCTGTGTTTGAGGCGGTCAGACACAAACGGCTCCATGTATCTCTGTTACCTGTGCTGTGAAGCCCCTAGTACGGACATTGTCCACAGGGTGGATCACAATGTATTCTAGTTTTTTGTCTTGTAGAGTACTCCTTCCCACGGGGAATTCCCAAAAAATGCTTCTTTCGAGCTGACCAATTTAGTTGCATGAGTTTTTACTCTCAGAACGGTCATTATTAGATGAAACAAACCCCATAGAACCGAAGGGGAAACA